AAATCACAAATGGTATTCAAGATAACCATCAGTGCTTCCAAGGCAAATTTAAATAACTATTTTTAACTTGATCATTTAATCAATTATTTTTTAGCATAAAATATCACTCAGCATTTGGGGTTGGGGGTTGGAATAAGAGGGTCTTTAAGATCCCTTCCAACCCAAACCATTCTATTATTTAACAAAAAGCAGTCAAGAGACCAAAATAAAAGTGTGTTTCAGGAGGTATGATTTTCTACCAAGGAGTAAGGCGTGCAGAGTTTTACCTACTCTGAAAGATACACACACACACACACACAAATGTAAAGTAGTTACGATAGAATATATGTATAGGACACAGATGACAATACAACAAGGTTTCTCATCCAGATGAAAGCTGTACACCTACATCATTGTTACCTGGCCCAGCAGACAAGTCTGCCCAGGCCTGCCTCCCATTATCCCAAAGGAATGGGGAAGGAGGCCAGGATGCTCAGCTCACACCCAGGACTGTCTCCCCAGCCATCCCTACAGACACCGTCTGCCATATGTAACCAAGACCAGGATGATAGGTGACCTGTCAGTGACTAATTTATGTTATACTTCCTCAAACAGTTCTAGCCAGCCTAAACTGGCACCAGCAAGGACCAGTGTGTGGCCCCTCCCCGCCTCCAGTACCCTGTTCCCACCCAGGCACTTCCCACTCCCTTATTACAGCATCAACAGCCCCATGGAGGTTTAGCTCTACCAGGGGTGTGACGAGGACACCACTCTGGGGTTACTGAAACACTATGCCAGGGGACAGAAACAAGCACTGGGAGGACAATTTCGGGTGGCAGTGCCAGCTGAGAGCCTCTTGGCACAGCAGTCCCTTCGGGCCACCTTTATTTGCAGTGAAGAGCCACAAACTCTGCAAGACACGGAGCAGGAGGTGTGGAGCAAGGGATGTGCCCAACCAACTTCACACTAAAACCCAGCCAGAACAACTATCCTTTTCCCCAGAATCTGGGAATCTTTGGGTAACACGTTTCACACTATTTCCAAAAACCAAAGGGAGAAAAGGACAGAGGAAAAAACACCCCATAAGAGAGATAAAGTGGTCGGCAAAGGGAAAACTAAGCAGACACATATGTAGGAATACGAGGAATGAACCAGCAGTCCTTTTAAGGATGTAGTGCAAAACAAGATTCATTACAGACTGCTCTAAATATTTTGGATTTGTTTAAGAAACACACTCTTAGTTGTTTCTTTCACACAGCTAAGAAGAATGTGTGTCGTCTTGGTTTTGGAGCCACCACCCCCAGCCAGGGAGCCTGGCCCATGCTGGTGGGAGCCACCTTACTGACCTGAACCAAAGGAGCAGGGCACACTCTTCCTGCAGCAGTTAATAACCAGGATTGGAAAAGAAAGGAAAAGAGGAAGAAATGCAGTTTACTTTTAATTTGTGGGCTACAGCTAAAGCTCTGGAGATAAACACACAACCCCAGGATGCCCCATGACCACACTATGCTGACACCACCATAAAACCCTCAATTGCCAGGAGAAGGGAAGCTCCAGCAAGTACCAACTGTAAGCCCTGAGCAAACCCTGAACACTAGAAAGGTTTTAAAGCTATGACCATCTTCATCCATTTGTACTATCTAAACCCAGAGCCAGCAGTAACCAGCTTCTCCAGCCCCCAGGGCAGTGCTGCTCTGCCTACACATCCCGTTCCCCAAGCCCCACAGGCCACCGAGCTGCCCCTACAGTCTCTTTAGCAGAGATACTGCGAGTTATAGAAAAGACCATGGTGCTTAATTTTAATTATACATTAGCTTCCCCACCCCTCCAAGAACTGGAAGTCATCTTGGACTTTACATTAACCTTTTACCAGGCCAGTAGAGCAGAAAGCATCAGGGTCCTTGCAGAAGCCACTTGTAATTTCTCATCATAAATGGGACTGGGATTGGTAGCAAGTCACAGTACTCAACAGCTGTATATTGGACACTCTTGCTTTGATTTTAGTAAATTTTAACCAGACAAATCAGTTCTAAAATCTCATCGTTTTGAAAAAGAATCATTTGACAGATACCTCCACTGCTGCAAAAACCAAGTGAACAAGAAAACCAAACATCTCAGTGCATTTACTTGCAGAGTTTGAAAGAGGAAATGCCACTAAATCTTTCTGATTTGGAACTAATACCCTCCCATCAAGGAAACTACTCATGCTGACATGCAGGAGTGGCACTCATCACATTTTGCACAGCCCAGATTTGCAAGGAATAAAAGCCTTGATGGTATATTTATTTCCTGAGGTGGGGAGAGCATGAATGGATGTCTGCAATAAAACAAAAAAACCCACAGACACACAGAGGCACTTTTCTAAATCCACACAAGATACACAACTATCTTCATGTTTCAGCTAAAAGGAACAAATACCGGGAAAAAACAAACCAGTCTGATACATGTTTTTAAATGAAGCTTGACATTAAATTTAAAATATAGTAAAAAGAATTTTGTACTAGAGTTGAGATGCAAAGAGAGAGTTCAACTAAACAGCTGTCCCAGAGTATCAAACATTTTCCTTGGTACCTTCTGAAAGATAATATCTTCTATGAGAAAAGAAAATAACCGGTCTGCCAAGAATTACTCCTACTCCTGCTCCTCTAATCTTTATTTTTAACTTCAGGGAAAGCTACACTTTGTACATCCAAAAACTTTAAACCGCTACATGTCTCCCACACAAGGCAGACTCAAAGCAAAAGGACCCTCCACAACTGATTGAATTTAAACTTGGAGGTGCACAGTCTGAAGGTACCAAATCCAAACAAACCACCACTTCTCAGCTGGACTCTGAAACCAGGCTACACACCAATGCTTACTCCATCGATTTTCACAAATTTACCTGCCATTTAACATGAACTTGCCCTATTTTATAACCGTGTTTGACTAAGGATTGAGCAGCATTCACCAGAGCTCCAGGTGGCTGCCAACCAGCAACTCACCAAGTTACAACAACTCAGTTGATTTCAACGATAAGAACATACGCTTCAGGCAAAATTGTTCCATTGACAGTTAAATTGTTTTAAGTATGTCACATTAAGACAACAAGACAACCAGCACAAGTGTGGCTTATTGCTTTTACAATTACTGGTTAAACTGGTAGGTCTTCCCAATATAGATGCGCTCTGCAAAACATCCAGAGACAACCACAAAAGAACCTGTGAAACTTCCAGCAGTCCTCCCAAGGTTACTCCTGCTACAAAGAGTATTTGGAAAAGCTTGACGCAAAACACAATTCTGAAATGAAGGACTGATAATTAACAGCTTTGGTAGCTGGTTTTTTGCCCCTCAGTTAAAAAATGACAGTAAGATTTTAAGTTACAGAAAGGAATCCATGAAATCTTGCAGCAGAACGCTAGTAAAAAAACAAGCACACCACTCTATTTACATTCTGCCTTTCTCATCAAGATCTCTTCAAACTATTTTCATTTTAAAAGAACAAATCATTATTGCCTTAAAAGAATTTCTGTGAACGCAGTTTTATGTTTCACGTGCAACTGTATAGTCACAAGCAACATTAAGTACTTGCAAAACCCACACAGATTAAATCTGAAAGCGTGAAATATTTCAAGTAACATCAGAATAGTCAAAAAAAAATCACTTTAGGAAAACAGAGGGAAAAAAAACCCTAATATTTAACACAGTTGCTATCGGAATGCAAGACAGACGCTTGCAAGGCACAAGAATGACCTCCAACAATTGCTCTTGGGCATTCAATAACTTAAGAAATACTGTACAGAATCTCAATTGCTTCATTTCAGAAGGAAAAAGCACTGTGTGTCTGTTGGCATGCAAGGAGCTGAAGGTATCGAGAAATAATGTGAAATCTAACTATTCTCAAAAGAAAATGTGTTCTTCCAACTGTTCACGCAACGCAAAAATAAACTGGAATATTTATTAGCTCAGAGAAACCAAACCCATAAGAACCTTGACATCTGATCCAATATAGCAAATACAGCAGCTCCACAAATTAGTTTTTCTGTTGTAACAACTATGAAGTGACTTCATGAAACATGAAGGAACAGTACGAGACATACTAGTAGTGCTAGAGTTTCAAATGAAGTGTTTTACTCTAAAAATAGTTGCGTATTTCAAGTGTTTAACCTGCTCGTATGCTGGGCCACAAGATATCTGCTTCTGGGAAGTTACAGGACAAAAGTTAACTCACAAGGTCAATAACTGAAGAAAACCCTGCTCTCACATGTCTCTGTTCTTTAACAGCATTGGGAGAATTATCCAGAATTTCCTTAGGAAAGCACTAAAATACAAAACAAAATTGGTATTTGAATTTTTTTGAAGCAGTTGACTACCAAAATACTTTCAGAAAGCCTGTAAACATTTACAGCACAGTATCTGTATTAACACAACATTATTACTTTCAAGGTCAGTATTACACATGCAGTTTCTTGGAGCTACATATTTTGGTGTTATTTTTAACATCTGACAGAGCATCTTGTACTGTTGCAAGCTCTACACTGTTTACAAATACTCCCAAGCTGCAGCTGCTGATTCTACTAGTGTATCTTGCCATAGCAAAAAAGAAAAGTAATTTTAATTCTCCAGTAATGGCTTTTTTTACAGTATTATATGCACTACCATGTTCCGTAGACTGGTTTTGTAATTTTTCCATCTTTCAACAACTACACAGACCAACAGGATTTGGTTACATGGATATCCAATTCTACAAAAGGTCAAAAAAGTCCAAGCAGAGTCGGGAAACACATCTTCCCCGTTGAGATTATGGATGAACTCTGCACCATCTCTTCGCGGGTGCTATTTATGGAGTTTCTACATTTGGATTACTTTTTAAAATTAAAATGCAGAGATTAAAAAAAAAGGTTTCAAAACCTTTAAAATTAAAATGCAGAGATTAAAAAAAAGTTTCAAAATAAAATGTTAAGTTTATGTTTTAATTCTTCATTCTCCCAAAACATTAACCACAAGCATAACAGTACAAGGCAGCAGCTAGCACTACTTACCAACGCAAGCGTTTAGAAACAGCCAGTCAGTCTTTTTCATCCTGTTTTTAATTTGCTTTAGTTTCTTGAAGTCCACTTCGAGTTCTTCCTTGCTGCCAACAGCTCCAGCCAATTCAATTCTTTGGAAGTCCATTTTCACATCAGATTCACGTTTGGTTGTAGGTGGAGATCTTCTTTGGCTATTACCACTACTACAGCTTCCTCTCCACCGAGCTCTGTCTTGCTCGTTTATGATGGAAGAAGCCTCTTCTGTGTCTGCCAGTTCTATTGCTTCGATGTTGTTGGGTCTGGGATGATCACACACGACACACTTCCTGGCCTTCGCCCAGTTTTCATATGTACAAACAGAACAAGTCCAGTGCTGAGCCCTTGTGTTTAGTTTATTTCTGTCATTGTATTCCTCACACGGATCAACAGAAAAAGGGACTGGTCTGGAACCAGAACCTGAAGATTGAGGAGACTCCGTGGGACTCCTGGTCCTGCGTTGAGACAAGCACTGAGTACACCTGATCGCTCTCGGCCAGTTCAAGTACGTGCACATGTGGCACGACCATTTATTTGCACTTTCCATACTGTAAGATGATTTAACCCTCGGTCTCGCACTAGAATCCGGACATATCAAAGGACTACTCCCTCCTTCAGTGCTCGTAGGATCCCAGTCTCTACCAATATCACTCGAACCACTCTTAAATGGATCTTCTGTGATAATTGTTCCACTAGGTCTCTGAGCACGACACATGGTACATTTGATTGCAGATGGCCAATTTTCATATGTACAATACTCACAAGCCCATTTAATTCCACGCTCTGTCATCGTGCACTTCTTGAAATGAACTGCGTCAGGCAGAAAGCTAAGTAATCAGAATACAGCATTAGTACACAACGGTGGCACAGGAGATCTGTTTCAAAAAACAACAAAAAAGGTAAATGAGATTTAACCCAGTTGACATAACAAACATAAACATCAGGCTGGGCAACCGGGCAGTCTTTTTTTTTCTTTATACTATTAGAACATTCAGGGGGAGAAAAACCACCAGGTAAAGGATAAGACTTGAGTTAACTGCATTTTAAATGCAGAATTCAGGATCTCCTACTGCACAAATCTCAGTTCTGCATTTCTGGAGTTTCTTAAATTTGAGCAGAGGCTTGCAAAACTAATTTGGAAAACAGATACACACCAAACATAAAGAATACTGGAGAAAGGACCAATAGGGCTACAGAAACAAGTGACAAATATTAAATTATTGAAATAAAACTCAGTATGAATACAGCAGTACAAGAAATGGAACACAAAGTCTAGATGCTCTAGGATTTGGAAGGAAGGAGTGTTACAAGTGGGGAGCTATACAGTGAGTAAGCAGTTCCTTTGGAAAAGTAGGTGTAGGAGTTTACATAAAATGCATACATTTAATTGTATACATGTGCTTAACCAAGACTAGGCCTTGACTGGACATCACTCATAACAGCAGCATTACGAACTTGAAATACCACTTGAGAGCAAGTACAAGGTGTGTGTGTTGACAAGCTAACACAGTATTTTCATTCTACAAACCCAGATTGCAACCCAGTTCCAACTCACTTTTTCTCTAATGAAGAAGGGATTCTGTCTTCATGCTGGCCCAGACTTTTCCCTCAGATCGCCAAATACGAAGGATGAGACTAAGCAGATAACTATTCCTGTAAACAAAACGAAAACACACTCATTATAGGTTTCCTACTGGACCTGAGTAACCAGAAAGTTAATCATTAAATGCCACACCTACTCCGATCCTAATTTACTTGTTTAAACTCAGTCATGACCTGCCGAGACTAACATATAGAGTGGTTAAAATAAACCAGTATTTATAAGAATCAGTTGCCATACAAGTGATAAGACTAACATATAGAGTGGTTAAAATAAACCAGGATTTATAAAGAACCAGTTGCCATACAAGTGATCAATCTGCTGAAGTAAAAGCACAAAATCCAAGCAACTTCAAATTCACACGAAAACATCTATAAACACTCATATTGGAATGAGGAACAGTATGGGGAAGGAAAAAAAGCTTTGATCCCCTCCAGTTTGTGTAGAGGGGAAGGGTGAGGCAGGTAGATAAAGGACAAATAGAAAAAAATATATACAGTCTGTTTCCTTCCTTATCACAGAATCGTTACCCAACACATAAGATTCAATTACGTGCTATTTTTAAGCATGCAAAACTATTTAAAATACAAATTTGTCATACCAATTGACTGACTATTCCCATTCATCATATTGCAACTCTCTTGGCTAACAAAAACACCTGGAATCTAGTAAACAAGGACTGAGAAGTCAGACAACAGGATGACATTCAAAACTAGACACATCAAACTAAAAATTAGTTTATACCTGTTCTCCAGTTAGGAAATGTTTAATGAGTTAGTACGTTCTTCACCAAAACACCTTCACACACACCTTGCTCTATGAAGGCAGAGCTAAATGTCCACTTAAATTTGTCACCCTTACTCCTACTATTGCCCTTCTGTGGGCTCCAGCGGGCAGCAGCAGAGGATTTTTCCAGCAGCTCCACTCTGATCTATTCACCGTATCAGGTGGCTGCATGAATGAGGGGCTATCGCATGGCCGGGACCGAGGGGAGGCCAGGACTATCCTTTTCACCAGAGATCCATATTTATGCTGCGTGAAAGCAGATGAGCAATCAGGAAGATGTAAAGCTTTCTCATAAAGCCGGGGTTCTAACATGACTTATCTGAACAGCCTGCAGAGCACTTCACTCCCACCTATACGTTATAAAACTGTGTCAGACTAAGGAATGTGCTGAGAAGGCAGTTGGACTTCCTACTGCTTCCCCTCCACCGTTCACTCAGAAAAGTCCATGCCCACTTGTAATGGAAAAAAAAAAAGGAGCAAGATCATACTACGGTCCCCATATCTGTAATAAAATAAGTGGAAAATACATATATAGTGAAAAATACAAATATATATATATATATACTCAAGAATACAAAGTCAACTTGATTATACCAAAGGTGACTTCATAAAGAAGACTCTTCAGAAACGTGAAGGCAAAACAGTTCCTCTGCTCCACAAAGAAACTAAAGCTTTGCCAAAAACACTTCCCATACAAGTACACTATACACTAGATGTATCTATTCCATTTGGTCAAGGCTATTTTTCCCAAATCCCAAAAATAAGGTGGGTTTTTATGACTTTCATCAATGTTTCTGAATACACTTATTCTCTCTATAAACAGTAGACTTTTCTGAGATATTAATGTTTCCTGGTTAGGAACTTAAGAGAGGCGAACAGGGTTTTCAGAAAAGAGAAGGAAGCAGCACCCCATCCGTGCACCTGCCAACTGCCACCCACAGAACCCCCAAGAGCAGTCTCCCTTGCCCTGAAGGACACCCAGAAAGTGGCTGTCCCAATACTTCCACACCCAACACAAGCTTGAGAATAATTTCTACCCGAGCAGAAACTGGTAGATTTTCAGTAGGTAAAGTTTTTAATCAAAAGCTACATAAGCATACAACGTGTGACAAAACCCAAGAGGGATCTGCGACTGTAAATGGTCTCTCACCTGCCCTAGTTTTCAAAGCCTTAAACCCAGCGTTCCCATCGCAAGCAAATCTCAACCCACGGTTGGGATGGGGCGAGAAAACAAAGCATCATCTGTTTTTCTGACATTCAGGCTGGGAAAGGAGATCACTGCTCAAGTCGAAAAGCAGCTGGTTAAAAAAATGATCTAAACAAATACTGAGATACTATTTATGAAACTAAATAGCCCAGTGCATACCGTGTTACTGAAAAGCTTTCCCATATATCATGAGATTAGGTTTTTAGCTGTAATAATTCTTTGTGCCCCTTAAAAAGCTAGATGCTTTCAGATATAATTCTTAGAGAGGCTGAGTATCTGCAGCTTTGAAAGCCTCTGAGATAGGGCTCGCTACCTCCAAACATGAGGCCTCAGGTTATTATCTAGTAAAGAATATAAAAAGGCTCAATGGAACAATGCAATTTCTCTTTTTTGATAGCTCTGCAAACACCCACTACAGCACAGCTACATGAGAAAATTTAGCACTTTCACACATCAGGATTTGGGGTTTTTTTTACTTTCTGGTCTTGGTCTGACCCCCAGTTGCACTTCAGCCCAGGGACACCAGAACCAGCTGATTTACTAGTGATGCAGGATCACCATCCATCACTGAGCAGTCTGAAGCTTGTTACATTTTTTCAGAATTACTTCTTTGCCACCCTGTCTTCAAGTTAACTTGTTATTTTAGATTCTTCAGAGAGGAGAAGTTGAATCATGTAGTACCTCCTCTCCCAGAGCAATAGCACAGCAGTGACTGGGAGGTGCAGGTGCGTGACTTAACGTCCAAAAAAGCATGAGCAAACAAGAAATTAAAACCCACTAAACTCCAAGCGAGTTCCAATTGATCAGTTTGTACACTGTGCTAAATACCTTCTGGACAGACTACTAAAATAACTCAGCACACTAAAGAGGAGGATGTATTAAATTCTGCTAAATCAAGTGAAGAAAAATCAAAACATTATCAGACCTACTAAATAAAGTCAGACAGAAAAGGACACCTAGAACAATCGGAATATTTTCTTTTGCTTTGTTTCAAGAATATTTTTCTTTTTAGGCACATGGGAAAACACAAACCAGTACAGAGAAATTGGGAAGAAACAATGAAGTCCTCAAATAACATTTTTATCACAGGATATATTATATTCCACTGTATCCAGAAGTTGTTTTTTTTATCCTCTGGCTCAAATAAGGAACAATATGGAGCTCCATTTCATTAACTGACCAAGCTCTTCCCCGTAAAGAGGCCAGATGCTGATTGAACCCAGTCTACACTACGGATTTTTTGCTGGGACAGTTATGTCAGAAGCACATCTGTGCTGGCAGAAACTGTATGTAATTATACTGATCAAATCAGTGTTCCCACCTCCACTCGTTTTGCCCGTGTCTATGGATTTTCAAACAAAGCTAACTCTTTCTATATTTACAGGGAAAAGAGAGCTCAACTTCAGCCTTCAGCAAGGCTTGCCAGGGAAAAGAGATCCCCTCTTTCCCCCCCAATGTGGCTGCCCCTCTTAGGCTGCTCCAAAAAAGACACGCAGGCTGGATTATTTAGCTTTATTTTAAAACACTGAAGCAACTTTTCAGAGGAACAAAAGAAGCAGAAGCGTCTTGTTCTGAAAGAAAGAGCAGAATCTACTCACTCAACAGTTTGTGACTGTAGAAGTCACACCTTTCCCACATCCAACCACAAAAAGGAGCGAGTCAAAGCACAAGATCAAACAGCAGCATCTTCACTGTCTGTATTCTTCATGTATTATGAAATATGGTGTATTTAAATGTACATCTACCAAGAAAAAGTCTCAATCTGACAGCTGTAATTGCTCACTAACAGCTGGAGAATGTTGCTGTGAAGTTTACATATACATGATGGACAAACAGGTTTTTAAGAAAAATTGCCTATGATTAACCCTGCATAATTTGACACATTTTCAGAAGCGTTCCCCCTGGTACGTCACTACCTCGAGTTCTCTTCCAATTACCCGCAGAAAACCGGCATACTTCTTAGAAAACCTGAAGTTCATTCATACACAAATAAGCTTTCTAATTAAAGCTGTAAAAGGAAAACCTGTTAAAAATCACACATCTGGTTTATCACCTTAAACAGTTATGATAAAACATGCACTAGACTGAACCCAGACAGTTGTAGCTGGTTTTGTTCTGTAAAACTGCAGAACATTGTTTTTTTTTTTAAGATGCACAAGGTGAATTTGAATCAACTGGTCACAACAGGAAACAAAGCAATAGTTTGATTTCACCATTTCCAAGCAAATACACTTATAAACAGCGTGGACTCTACCCAGAGTATCTTTGTAAAGCTCATATAAGCTGTACCAAGGGACTCTTTAAACAAAGATTTTGCCAGTTTTTAAATACAGCCAGTAGGAAGGTCTAGAGGATAAAACAGCTCTACACAAGCTCCAATCAAAAAGGCCAATTTGTTTCTTTCAAACTTGGAAACTCTCTGAAAAGCTCAATGACTTCTTACATGAGACACATCACTATTTAAACTGGCTCAAATTCACTTTTGTTATTTGGGTCCGAGAATCTTTGTGAAGTATCACACTGTCAATACACTTCAACAAAAGCAACTTACATTTTTAAATAACCTACTTGAAATTTATTGCCAAGTATTAAGGATTGATTTTCACATGTAATTTGCCTTGACGAATTTTCTAAGGTGGAATTTTACTGACACTTTCTTCTCTTAATTTACTTTGTTACTTACTCCACCTTCAACTCTTGGCTATTCTTGCATGACTGCTTTCTCAAGAACACAGCATGAGCCTCAACAGATCAGTACATTAAAAGTACAGAACTTGAACCCAGGCTTCTAGAGTTTGAAGGGAACTAACAATAACTTCCATTGTCATCTCTGCAAATTAGTTTAAAAAAAAAAAATTAAGAACATTGACCTTGTCAATGAGACAACCAAATCAGATCAGCGCTGAATCTGGAAGCTTCGCAGTAAGGGCAATAACTATGTATTATAATAAATAAGGGAAAGATTACTGCAAAGCCACAAACATAGAAGCATTTTCTGTATTGACCTGAACATCAAAGAAAGGAATCACCAAGTGAGCATAGTTTGCTTTGGTTGGTAGG